TATTATATAATAAATAATAATAAATATATATATATATATATATATATATATATATATACATACATATGTGTAGAATATATATTTACATTTATTTACGTTTATACATAATAAAATTTGTATTATTGGTATTTAAATAAATAAAAATATAAATATATATAAATAATTCGTGTATTCTTTTGGCATCAATATCACGATATCCTAATATAATTTTTTTTCATATAGTTAACAGCAAATTGAATTTTTCTTAATTTTAATTAAAAATGGGAATACTTAAATTTCCCCTTTTGTTTTTATTCTCTTTACCAAATTTTTTTTATATATAAAGTAACAATTTATAGATAGATCAGATTTTTGTTATGTACATGTACAGAATATTATATTGTAACTGTTTTTCTGTCACTGCACGGAAATTAAAATTAAATTTACATGTTATTTAATAATAAACAACAAATATAAGGAACTTGCGTTCATAATATAAATACTGTTCAATACCCACAAATGAAAAAATGACGGATTAATTTGTTAATAATTAACAACATAAAAATTCTGACAAAAGAATGCTAAACTTGTTAAGAATCTCAAAGCAGATTTGCGAAAACTGTGATATTATTAAGAAATAAAATGTTTTGTGGAAAAAAGCTAAAGAAATTTAAAATTTTCTCTTTGCCGATTTTTCAACTGTATATAAGAATCCAATTTGTTGAATGATTATAAGCTAATAAAATAGGGCTATGTAATAACAAAGATATATTATTTTGGTCAACAGATGCAGATATTATTAACCATTGTTCAAGCCAACGTCTCATGTTTTCTGTAGACATATTTGCAGGATTCAGACCTCTAAAGGATAATGCCTGTAAAACAGATTAGTGAACTAATTCTAATATCTTTTTATTAATTGTATATTATACGTGTTACATAAAACAAAATTTTTAATTGGGACATTTTAAAAGAATAGTTTTCAAGACAGGAAAAGAAAAAAAAATTAAATTACGCCATAAAAATGAAAACGTGCATATTACATAATAAATTGCAATAAAACTTTTTCATACTAAATATTTTGTAATATTCTAAAAGCGTGAAGTTAATGAAAAGTATCTACCCATCGCATTGCTTCATTAGGCATTTCTTTTACTCCTCCCTCTCGTACGATAGCGCGATCCATCCGCAATATTAGCATACCCCTCTCCATCAATCTTTTCCTCTTGAAAGGTTTCCATATTGGCATGCCATGTATTGCCAATAATTCTGTCTGGAAAGCATGTATTTGTATTAAAATAATCTCAAAGAAGCACAAATTGGCATTCAAAAATAACAACTTATAGACATACCAGGTGTTTTCTTTTGAGATTACTGAGGGAATATGGCGAGCCTGAAAAGAGCTCGGAACAAGCTATAATATTTTTAGTGGTTGGATGCGTGCCACTTCCCAGGCAAGCTATAGCATCACGCCACTTTATCCTGAGCGCCTCGTTTTTGATGCTCTTTAGTTCGGCCTGCATGCATCTGAACAACGGCCGGTTGTGTTTCAATCTTCTCTTATGATCAGAGAGCATGAATTCCAACTTCTGTTGCAGCGTCCAGTAGTGCGACGTCAGTAGATAGCGTGGGAAGTATAGGGCTAGAGGGAAAATAATGTAATTCGTAAATGGTAGGGCCGACAGTAGGAACAACGGCGAGAGCTTTCGCAGATCTCTCGGCATCGTGTGCATCAGCTGCAGCTCCTCCCGCGTCAAGCTGTCTACGCCGTACGAGCCCTGCTTCTTTATCGCGGCGACGAATCTTTTCAAGTCCGTGTACACGTCCTTGCTGCCGTCGCTGAACACGCGGTAGACCCGCATCGTACGCGGGAACTTTTGCTCCAGCGTGCGCTCGTAATTCTTGATGTAATTTATGTACTTGGCGAACCAGTACCTTTTGAGGTTAGCTACTTTGCCCGGCTTCTCCGTCTCCGTCTGCGTCCTCGCGAGGCCCCGTTGTATCGGGGTGCGTTTTACGGGCCCCAACGTGTTCGCGCCCTCCCGGGCGAGCGTTCTGACTATCAATTTGTACATCTTGGGATCTTTAATCCTTTATCGGAAAGCCGAATAGATCCCACGGACGTTAGGTTAGGTTACAGTTTGAAGAATTTTGTCATTCGAGTCGGTCGACTTCTGAAAAGATCAAGTCTCAAAAGATTCAGGTTGACGACTGTTGAGATAACTCCTTCATGTTAATAAAATCTTGGGGATTATCGTAATTTGTCGGAAATTATATTCGTTAGAATATCTAGTCACCATAATCGAAATAAAGAAAATTTTCCCGTCTATCCCGGGAAAATTTTCGTAACTAAAACCCGAAGGTAATTGAAGAGCATTGATATTATCGACTATTAAGAGAAATTTATGATGATTCATATATATAAATATTTGACTAAAAATAATAAGACTCACGATATAAAAAATAATTTGAGGAATTTGAGTCAAGCACGCAAGTGATACGCAAATTTTTCTAATCATTTTTTTATACCTATTTGAGCAATGCATTATAAATCGGTGATTATATATTTTCTTCGAGAAAATAAAAGATAAATGAAAAAAATCTGAAAATTTTAGAGCTTTGTTTCTATATGTTTTCAAGATTGTGATTATCAGAAATCTGCATTATTGTAGTATAACAGAAATTTTATTGAAGTATAACAAAATGCAGTATTGGACAATTTTCTGATAGTTTTCTTTAAATTGATTTGATTGTGTAATAGAACAAATCCTTGATGTTGAAATTTGGAATAAATTTGAAATAAAAATAAAAACGCATGTAATCTGAATAATTTTAATTAAAAAAATATAATTAACGCAAGGCACAA